AAAGATGCTGATCCAACAGTCGATTATCTTCCAGCAGGTATCCCCCACCTCACTTTCTACTGAGAGTCATATCAAATGTTCCCTGTTTTAAAAATTCTTCCTGGATTTACTTACTTAGGATAACATCTTTGATGGAAGACTGGCAGAATCGCGGCATCCCAGCTTGAATGTAGGAGCAGCTGATCTCGCAATCTCTCTGCAAAATGGTAATAAATATAAACAAACGCATAATATTTTGATGAAGGAGAATTGGCCCTTTCAACACAGTCACTGTGATCATGCCTATATAAATAGCCCATCATAGGCCATCATAGCTCTTATGGACAGGGAGTAACAGCAGGTGAGGAGAAATTTGAAGACCAGCTTGATCTAGTAGGGGTAGGCAACCTTGGCTCTTTTATGACTCGTGGACTTCGTAAAAGGTGATCACCTGACCCCAGGACACTGCAACCGTCATAAATGTGAGTCAGTTGCCAAGTTTTAATCAGGTAGCCCTGGGGATGCTGCAATGGTCGTAAGTGTGAAAAATGGTCATTGGTCACTTTTTTCAGTTCCGTAACTTTGAACGGTCACTAAATGAACTACGTAAGTCAAGGACTACGTGTACTCTACAGCAGGGGTGTCAAACTGCCAGCCTGCGGGCCGGACACGTCATGAGGAAACCGCACCCACCCTATTGCCGGCAATGAGGAAAAAGTTCCGATACGTCGCGCGACGTCATGTGATGTCGCGAGTTTGAAATGTCTGCTCTACAGCAATACTTTCATATTTTACTGTAAACTGCTTTTAAATGGAAACATAATAAAAACATAATAAATATATCCAGCCTCTGGGAAGGAACTGGTGCTCTTTTGTACACCTTCTCCCCTTCTACAGCGATCCTTCTGCTGACCCTCAATTCTTCCTGATTGACTGCTAAGAACACAAACTGTATTGTGTCCCCATAAATGGTTCAGATATGGGAACAATAAGATTAATAATATTTGTCATAGAAAAGCCATTTCGATTTATTTCATTTATAGCTCCTTCTTTCTCTGGCATCTCAAGATAGGTTACACAGGGTGCTTTCTTCAATTTTTTTTTTTTTACTCAGAACAAGAACTTTGAGTAGGGCTGAAAGAAAATTAACCTGCTGGCTGAGGAATTCTGGGAGTTGAAGTCCAGAAATCTCAAAGTTGCCAAGGCTGAAAAACACCTTCTTAATCATGGTACCATACCCGCTCTTAATACAGCAGGCCGACTATCCTAGCATCGAATAAAAATCTCCTTTCACTTGTATAGGTAGTCCTCGATTTACAACCCTAATTTAGCCTGGGATTATGATTGTAAGGCATGCTGGTTATTAAGTTCTGGCTCCCTCGGAGAGGGTACGCAATCTGGGGGTCCTCCTGGATTCACGGCTGACACTGGAAGACCAGCTGTCGGCCGTGACCAGGGGGGCGTTCTATCAGGTACGCCTGATTTACCAGTTGCGGCCTTTTCTGGACCGAGACGCCTTGCGCACAGTCACCCATGCCCTCGTCACCTCCCGCCTGGACTACTGTAA